CAACCATGTCACTCCTAAGCGATTCCGAACGGGTGACACACCCTCTATTTTGTACCTTGTGCTCTCCAACGAAGAACTAATGGTCGACACCTTGACCATAGATGCACTAGTTGGCAGAAGCGATCAGGTTCTGTTGCTCTTTCGTTACATCTATTACTCGGAGTACACCAATGAAAACAATGTGGAAATCTATGTCGTCATACATTACGATATCCTGTCCAACCTAGTTCAAGAAAACGACTGATCCTTCCTGGCCGAGAAACCGCCCGATGTCGCCTGGATGGTGTTTGTCACTCAATTCACTGAGCTAGTGGTAAATGCATCAGAAAGTAAGGTCTTTCGTCGGAAGCAAGTAAATTCGTTCCTGAGGAGCCGTAATAGAAGAGGCATGGCCTTCAGGGATTCAGTCTGGCGCGCTTACGAATTCTGTCCAAGTAACCTAACCTAGGGTGCTTAAAAAGCTCAACCGAACCACTGCGTCAAGTTGATCCGCGAAGATAAACTCCAACACCAACAGAACTTCGAGGCGAAATGCAGTACAAATCCCAAGTTGCTGTATAGACACGTCAACAAGCTCCGCAGAGTGCAGCGCGGGATCCCGGCTTTACTTGCAACAGTTGATCTTGCGCCAACCGCACGTGATGCGGCCAACGTGCTTCGCCAGCAATTCATCCATAATTTCCGGAGTGAATCATCATTTCATCCGCTTTTGACCAGAACCGCTACCATCGCCACCAGGGTTAAACCACGTATCGCTCACGGCAGTCAATATGATGAAAATGCTAAAGCTATTGCGCGTGCACGGCTCACCTGACGTGGGCGACATCAAACCCAAGGAGTTGAAGACAGTGGCCGTGAGCTTTGCCGAACCATTAGCTCGGTTCTTTCAATCTTGTCTCGATATAAATGCAGGTTCCCACAATGTAGAAGCATGGACTAATCACTCCTATTTACGAAAGTGGTAACCGTGAGGAGCCCTAGAACTACCGTCCAAGCACTTTCCTCTCAGTTGTATCCAGATTAATAGAACATATATTTGTAATGGCGCTCATGGGATATCTTAAGATCAACAACATCCTAGTGTCACGGCAACACGGTTCCCGCCCGAGCATGCTGGACAGAATCAGACGAGGAGAGAGTGGGAGTCAACGTTGTCTACCTGGACTTCTCGAAAGCGTTCGATCGTTTGAACCACCGCATTTTCCTTCACAAGCTTCGAAGCTATGAAATCGGTGACCCTGTGTTTGGTTGGATCAGCAACTTCCTTAGTCGATGTCAGCTGAGTGTGAGAGTCCGCAGCTCCATTTCCGACCCAATTGACATCCAGTGTGGCATACCCCAAGAATCAGTACCGAGGCCACTTTTATTCTTAGTATTCATTAACGATCTTGCCAGTGTACTGCAGTCTAATTGCTTACTATTTGCAGATGATGTCAAAATTTGGCATGATATCAGGATATCGGATGGTCACATGGCTTTGCAGAGCGATCTTGACAGGGCTTATGCGTGGTCATCCGACAACCTGCTGAAGTTCAATGTGGCGGAGTGCGAAATCGTAAATATACGCCATCAGCTTATCTATGAATATCGACTTGGGGACCAGCAGTTACAACATGTTTCCCAATAAAACTACCTCGGGATGAGCACGCAGTACTATCTTACCTGCTCGAGACAGGCTGAAAAGGCATTAAAATGTGCCAGTCAGCATCTTGGACTCTTACGGAGGGCCTTTGGAAAATTTGTGTCATCAATCTCTCCGCAGATGATAAACGCCTATGTGAGACCCTACGCTGAACCTGCGAACCAGGCCTGGCATCCCTGGCGCAAGCAGGACATCAATGCACTTGAAAATCTACAAAATAAAGCGACCAAACTCGTTAGAGGATTGTTTCATCTCTCCTACCAGTGCAGACTGCAGTCCCTGAGATTGTACAGTGGTGAATATCGACGTCAGCGAGGAGACCTAATCATGGTTTACTTAATACTGACGAACCCAACTCACCCATGTCGCAATCTGTTGCAGCCGAGCCAAAATACCAACCTGAGAGGCCATCAGTTCAAACTGGCTACGCACTACAGTCGACTTGATTGTCGACGAAACGTTTTCTCCCTCCGCGTGTCCCGTGCCTGGGATGCGCTTCCGGCTCACATTATCCTTGAACCTACATTAACACTATTCAACAAACACCTTGATGAAACGCTTCTAACTTGCCTTACTTGATGTAGTCCGTTCCATTTGGAGGACGAACCTAACCATGTGCATAACGGCCCTCTCCGCAACGTGGTGGTGAGGATACATACAGCAGTGTCCATGTGAGTGGCCTGGATGTATCTAAACTGGAGTAACATACCACCTTTGTCAAATGAAGCAACACACGAGTGAGTGTTGTCGTTTCCTTTCTCACGCATTTATTGAACTATAACAGCTCTCCATACTAGTTTGTGTGTGCACATCCCATTCCTACTTCAAACTATCGTTCTGCAGTTGTGCATTTAAATCGGTAGACGTTTAAACTAACGATTTACTTATGAGTAGAAGGATTTTAGTGAGTATTTTTGTTCGTCGCAATCAGCCGACAATTCAGGTAAGTCAACTACCTATCCGGAAAAGCACCAGACGGCCGTTTCGCCCTGTTGGGGCTCGTCAGTGGTGCGCATCCTTCGGTCCTCTACGGAGGATCGAACCCATGGCTGCTAGTGGCTTGTGCCAACTAGCCCGCAGCTTATGCAACTGCGCCATGGAGGACGGTAGCCGACCAGCACGAATTGTTAGCTAACTGCGATATAGCCTGACACATCCTCCACTGCCACGCAGGCACCTGCCATGCAGTGACAGCGGTTGGCCTTCCGGCGTCAGGACTTCCCGGTTACGGCAGCTATGAATCGACTTAGCCTTCTTTATGGAATCCGTAAGGGCGAATTTGTATTACTTATGAGTAGAAGGATTTTAGTATTTTTGTTAGTCACAATCAACGATTTACTTGTTCGATGATGCTTTCAATTTTAATTTTTACTCCAACCATCCTAAGGGACTTGTCAAATACATGCTACTTTACCCATGATAAATCTATCCATTATTCATTGCACTGACTTAACAGTTTACGCTCGGTTGCACAAACTTCATTGCATTGACGATATCAACCAAACAATGGAACATTGGTGCATACGGATAAAAAGCAATGCTAACAATCCCGTGGGATGGAAATTGTTGCGAAAATAAAAGTTCAGGATAAATTGAAAAGTGTTTTGGTGGGGTTACCATTGCGTTCGCTTATTAAAAGTATAAATCCATAAATCCATTGGTTGGGAGTATGGTAAGACAACGTTTTGATGCGTTTTGTAGCCCGGTTGGCTGATAAGTTATAAAATGCAAATGCAAATGTGCCAAATCATCGTCAGCTCATTTACTAAATATCGCCGGTTTGGGGGCACAGACGACATAATTTGGGAGAGCGTTCCAAGGCTAGCACACGCGGAGGGAAAAGAAAGTTCTACGGCATTCAAGCCGGCTATACTGTATTGCCAGTTTCAGAGGATGACCTCTTAGATTAGTGTTGTGGTTCAATTCCAGAAGCAGGCGACAAATGTGCTTTGGGTTTTTCAGAATCTGGTAAACCATTATGAGATCCCCTCGCTATCTTCGAGATCGATTGCTGTACATTTGTATAGACCAGTCTAGGCTGATAGGGCAGATGAAAGAGACGTCTGACGTTCTTGGTTGCCCTTCATTGAGGAGTCTCGAGAGCAACGAGATCCTGTTTCTATCACGGCTGTCACGCCTGGCTGGCATATTCCACGTAGGCGTTAAGCACCAAGGAAGATTGAGGGTTAAAACATGCCAAACGCTTTGTGGGGAAGGCCAAAGTGTTGATTGCCGGTTCTCGACGCCTTCTCTGTTTGTTTTGAGCGTCCGAGATCTTCCTGTACCAGTACACCCAGGTCACGCTCCTGAGAGGTCTTCGAGGTGTGGTTTCCAAGCTTATAAGCGCTCACCGGTTGGTGACGCAGATGTAACACCTTGCACAGCTATGTTCAACTGGAGCAGGTTCCTCGATGAACATTAATAAATGCAATCTAGATCATGTGACTCGGCCTTTATGCTTCAAGTAACCAGGTCAATGAACAAGCCACCTTCATTATACGAGGATCAAATCTCAGTTTCAACCATACATGCTTCTGTACGCACGTGTTGGCTAGATGGTGATGACTCAGAGGCCCAGAAGTATAAAACGACTCTTCACGGCTCAATTTTGCTGCATCTGCGCTGTGTTCATATGGAACATTTCTCCACGTTGCCTCAGTGCTACCTTCGGAGTATAACTTTCTATCTAAAACAGGGATATTTTTGGGTCGCGTACCCCTACCGCCACACTGCATGACCAATGTCACCATTGCATGGACACTAGAGAAAAATAGCATGTTTATGAGTAGCATGTGAGAGGTTTTGGCTATCAGGTTAATGCATTGACCACCAGACTATACGGTTGTGACTAACGCTTATAACAACGGGTAAATTTACCGTATGTTAAAACGAACCTTCTCCGCCTGTCAAATTGCTGTAATAAATAATCTTGACTACCTATAACTGACAAAGAAGAGCTCACGGTTACCGATAGTCTTGTGAACAACGATAACAGCCTGTTACGTCTATTTAATCAATTGGTGAGAGTGGCTGATTTCAGATTTTACCTTTAAGTCAGGTTTGGCATTGAAATAAATGTACGTTATTCTGCGCGATATGAAAGTTTACGCTACTACAGATGCTTCTCATGCTACAATCACTGAACATTAATTTAGTTTAGATGCACTATGTAATACATCCGGAAGTGTTACTTTGCGCTGTGGTGTGAAGTATTAGTGGTTTGAATACATGTTAATATCCAGTAACTCGACTCAGACCTTTTGATATGGCAGATACTTTCCTAGGTGACACACAGACCACTAAGCTTTGCAACTTGTCTACAAACATTAAAATCTGAACTCATGCTTTTTCCCTTCAGAGTCTCAGTTCCAAACGCACGACAGTGACATACCCACCAAATGACTTGGTGGATGAGCAGAAATCCACTCCGCTGGCGTGCAAGAAATTCCCGGTTTTCAGTACTTCCTCTTGGTAGGTCTGCATTATTGCTGTTTCATTTTAGTATTGTTTCTGTATAAGCCTTAGTGCGAAAGCCCGTCGCGAGTTTGTGTCAATTCACATATATCAGTTAAGTTATTGACACTATCTGTGTTTTTTCGAGTTGCAAGGTAGGTTATGGCAGAAGGCATCGCTATATCATGGGCTCATTTCGCTAGTAACGAGTCCACAGAATATATAGCACGAACTCAGAACCAAATTGCGGATCTTAACGTTGCAACGTGGCAACCAGCTGTCACGTGTTCACGGTAAGATCAACGCGCTAGCCGACTCTGGCAGGATGATACACACAATCATATACAAGCGCAACCGTCTCTCCCTTGAAGGCTGTGGAGAATCTCTGATCAGCCGTTCACATACGTTTTTCCCATGTCGCGGCTTTGGACCGTAAGGCCAGTTCGTAGAATCTTGTCACGTGGATGGGATTACATTGTCATTTGTGAATACACCCACGCATCTCTGGTCTTGTTCTGCAGAAAAATCAGACATGGTCCGTTGGAATAGCTAGGGAAAAACCTTTGCTTACTACCAGGAACTACTTCAAATCATCTGTTCGATGGTTGCGCTTCTTGAGCTGTACAAGATCAAAGCAGTGCGACTGTTATTTTTTCGAAGGCCAGTGCTACTTCGGTGTCTTATGTGTTGACGGCGTCTGTGTAATAGCCGTCAGCGCTTTGGATCTGTATATTGCTTTTTAGGGTATTCGACTCACAGCCTTTGCATAACCCACACTGCAACCAGCGTAAAGAATTACCCATAGTTGTGCAAGGAAGCTTTGTCCATAATTTTTGACGTAAAACTCTTCCATCAATACTTCCGGAGGAATTTTCGAGTCACACAGACAATAATCGATTAATAGTATTGTTAGATGAAACCAAAGATATACAACAAATGTTTTCCATAAGACAATGCGTGCATGCAATTAGGAAATTACTTACATTACTGGCAGTAACAGTGACGCAACTGATGCTTGAGTCGTCAAAGTGTTCTCTGAGATAGGCGCGTAGCTCCCGCGCTCCTTTTTATAAGAATTTGCTGTTCTCTTCATTCTCTCAGCATGTTCACCGTACGTGCATTCGCATTGGATTAACTAGCTCTATTCACGGAACCATCACACGTTAGCTTATTTTCTTAGATCCACAATCCCAGCGGTATCGGCTTTATTAAACGGATCGTGCTTAAAGCGAGTTGTGCAACCTTATCGCTTGCAAGAAATCGGAATACCGTACTATCCGAGCTGGGCAACCTGGCTGCAGACGTTCTGCACCTGTCAAGGTGACTTTGTCAATACTTAGTTGCATAGTAGGCATTATCTCCGAATAAGTCGCCGGTAGTTGCTCGACGAAAAAGTGACTCTCGTACTAGCGTTTTGAAGAGGTCAGTTTCAAATGTCATTAGCCTAATACGTGGTAAATCACTGAGGAAATCACCCCGACTAATTTTGGAACTGCCGCAGCAAAAGTGTCCAGCTCGGGGCCGAGTCCTCATCTTTGTAACATTGTTCGGCACAGAATGCTCAAGTCTCTCCAACAAGCCCATGTTTGCTCCAATAGGATGTTCCTTAAAAAGGATGTGCAAGAATTTATACTCCCGTATTCTGTACATATTGTTTGCCTTCAGCTTCAGTAGCAGGCCCCTGGCCAGACAGAGCCGACACCCATCGATCCGCTGGCGAGCACAATGCGCCTGACTGCAGCTGAGCGATAGTACACATGGTAGACACAGTGATTTACACCCACCGTCTACAGGATGCTTGGAAAATTGGGCGGTTGACTGACTTGCGTGAGATTACAAACGTTCACCTCATGCATTAACATGATCCAATCCAAGGGTAAATGCAACGTGAGGCAGTACAAAAGTACAACAGAGTATTTCCTTCTGCTACGTATGCAAATCCATCCCGGTTTTAGTTGGTTAACCGTCCTCATGAAAAAGTGTAGAAAGTTGATAGAAACGGTTGAGAAACTGGTGAACGCCGGAGTTACACCTCTGGAAGTAAACGAAGCTACGCTTCATTGCAATGAACCACCACATATACTTCATTTAGGCCAAAGAAGAGATATCTCAGCTATAGGGTCAACTTTGGGTTTGTTGTTCGCTGCTATGTTTATGGCCAAAGTGGAAAATGGTCTGCTGTGTGAGGTGACTGGATGTTTTGGGGACCGAACGTCCCCACATGAACTCAGGCGGAAAAACGTTTCGATCAAACTGCTACACACGCAAGAAACATTTCCGGCCAAGCTCCATCGAGTATTGACATTCAATCAGATCTATCAGCTCCGCACGCCAAACTCCATCAATTATCGACGTTCACTCGAATCATGTTCCGTTGTTGACCACTTCACATATTGCAAATTCGCTCACTTTCAGTTATCGACAAGTCAGTTTGCTTAATTAGGACTTGCTCACTATTCTCTCTTTCCACCAATCGTTGTACGCTATAATTGCTTGGTCTGGCGAGTAAAGTGCCAGGCGCGAAGAGTCTGTCTTTTGTTTTCATCTCCCGGGTCGGAGTCGCGTGTAAAATCTGTGCTCCGTCTAGGAGAACGTTTCAACTGTGCGCGTAGAACCGTGTTGTGCCTGTCTCCCGGGATGTGCGCAATCGAATTCAGTCAGCTGCTTTCCGTGCGAGATACCATTCTTTCACACGTTCGTTCATCCTACTAGGAGAGTCTTATCAATCCGTAATACAAGCGCTGTGACTAAGGACCAAGTTAGAACACTGACCGGTTGCCACTCTGCAAACGCTATGCCTACGAAGTGATGTACATAGCTCACAGCTCCGTGGAGCAGGATGAATTATTAGGGAAATTTAATCAGGCCCACAGAAACATTTAGTTTCGCATGCAACCTGAGACATATGAAGGTGTGGTTTTTCTGGATGTTCAGATGTTAGATCGACCATTTGGCTCGCTGCAGCGTAGAATCTACGGGAAAGTGCCATGGACGGACCAATATACACACTGAGAGCATTGTACTAATCCGACAAAAAGTTGGACATAGCCCGGTGTCTTGTCGGAAGAGCGATGAAAATATGCTGCGAGGACACAGCTGAAGCAAAGAACATCGTAATAATTAGTTGCTTAATAACGGGCATCCTGAGGAGTTACTTGACAGGAACATGCGGACTGACTGTATCGTCGCCTAAGTACACACAGCAGGAAACTAACCCCTATAATTATCACTGCCATTCAAGCGAGAAAACAGCTCAGAATGCGTTAACAAGCGATTAAGAGCGGCCGTGATTAACACCTATGGCGTCGTACAATTACACATTATCTCCGCTTCCTCCTCCGTGTTTCACTTCTAGCATAAGCATTAACTGCCTGTAGATGTCATTTTCTTCTGTGTGTACCTGTTAAGCTGTTCATACGGGACAAGTTACATAGGTCGCAACACCAGACCTTTGCATTACTAATCAGTAATGGAGATTTGGTATATTTGGAGATGGTTCATCACGTTCATCTGGACGCGTCCGTGAGCATCACCTATCATGACTAAGCCGCGTATTGAACAAAACTTACACAGTCGCAACAGGCGCCCACCTAGCCCCTATGAATCATCCCGTCGTTATTTCTAAAGCCATTCGTCCGATCTATCCTGTGAGCGGTGTCCATCCCAAACTTATCAGATGCTGAGTTTTTGCACTGGCGGAAGCGAGCATGATTCGTCTCAACAACCCCCGTTGTGTGCGTAAAAAGTTCGCCAAAGCTCTGGCTTCAGTTGCCTAGCTGTGGCCCAGACAGCTTTTGCTCACGCGAAGGCTTTTTCTAGTTACTCAATCCACTCTTCCTCATCTTAACTATGAAAACGCGTTGTATTTGGCCTGGTCAAGACTCGCCGAAAAACAGCTTATTGGCTAGGCTGTCTTTTCATAATTGAAACTAGAATTATCCACCAGTTGAATAGACAGGCGTCTCAATCTCACCTCAGCATCTCAGTCTCCAGTCCTCCCAACTCACTTCACTCCGCTTAGTGTATAGTTCGTCTAAGGTTTGCCTGCTTCCACTTCGTCCCAGAGTGTCACACTCAGCAATTCAGTTATTATACTGGAGACACCAACCTACAGCCAGTCAACAGCAGAAATTACCTGGACATCATACGCATCGGCTGCCTGCAGAAGAAGCTAGCAACTCCAGTGACTCCGTTTATCGGGTTGGACAAAACGTAGGTGTCGCAGTATGGATTATTATCTCCCTTGTCGCCCACCAATATAAGAAAGCAACAGAACCTAATGCTTTTAGGCCTATAACCACCAAGTGCAGCTATGATACCTTAAGCCTTTTGGGCACTAATGTTCTCGAATCCAACACAATTAAGTGTGAGCTGATAGACCATCGTGAGCAGTGTGATTCATGTAGTGCGCTCGGTCTCCATTCTGACCCCACAACATGCGGACGCATTGCGCACTGCTCAGACTGATCTCACTATGGTGAGCCTCGATTACTTCGGGTAACAGAAATGCTTTGAATAAGACGAAGGCCATTCTGCTGCTCCGGAATCGACTACGCAACGCATTTAGCCGAGTGCGCATACCCTCGGACATCCTTTAGAATGAATGTCCAAATGTTATGAACAACAAAAAGGGAGTAGAAAACGCAGTGATTAGAAAGCTGTCATTGTTCACGATGTCCCAGAGCTTCAAGCTTTCTCTTCCGACGAAGCTTAGGCACATGACCAGCAGCAGTGGCGTTAAGTCCGTGAAGCGTAGTGTAGAATTCCGAATGACCAATCCTGTGAGGCCTTCGTCCCGCTTAATCAGTTCCGACTGTGACTCTCACTACCAATTGCTCATCTAGCCCCAGCCTAAACCTTGTATGCACTGGGCCTCAATCCTTATCCTGTGACCCGACGCCAAATCTGTTCTATGTTCACCTGAAGTTCGAGAATTTGTCTCACTACATTCAAGTACCCGCATGTTACCTTGTTTCAACTTGATGTCAACAGGTTCACTCTCACCACATCTGGTACCA